GCCTCAGCTGTCTCTTCAGGGAGGTCCTCCTGGAAATGCCCCTCCCTCAGCCCTAGTAGGGCCCCTTTTCATGGCCACTGTTTTTTTCTTTCTTTTTTTTCTGGTCTCCAGGAAATTTGTGTTTTGTTTTGTTTTGTTGTAGTGTAAGGGAGGCAAGACTTTTCCTCTATCCTCTTAGGGTCTCTGGCTGGGCCTGAGAGTTAAGTTGACATAAGACAGATTAATAAGAGAAAAGCATACAAATTTTATTTTGACTTGTACATGGGAGCCTTCACAGGAAAATGAAGACCCAAAAACTTAGGCCTAAGTGCTTATATACTAGGTCGAACAAAGAGTAGTAATTGTGGAAAAGCAACTAAAATATATGAGCAAGCTAAAGGAACATGAGAGTTACTTTAACAAGGCTGGTTTGTACAGACGTCTCTCAGCCTCAACATCCCATCTCTGGTGATAAGAATGTTCTTTTCCTCCTGGTATGGAGGGTGCATCTTTCACATGGAATTTTATCTCCTCTTGTCAGGAAGAAAAGGGGAGGTCAGAATGCCCTTCTTGCATCTGTTGTTTTTCCAGTCTTTTTAGCATGAAAGTGTCAATACGCCAAACCAGCATATTTTGGGGAGGCATGTTCTGGACCTCCTTAGTGGTAAAATATACATAACATAAAATTTACCATTTTTACCGTTTTCAGTGTACAATTTGATGGCATTAAGTCCATTCATGTTGTTGTGCAGCCATCACCACCATCCATATCCAGAACTTTGTCATCATCCCAAACAGAAACTCTGTCCCCATTAAACACTAACTCGCCATTCCCCCCCGTTCCAGTCTCGGGTAACCTCTTTTCTACTTTCTGTCTCTATTAATTTGCCTATTCTAGGAACCTTATATAAGTAGAATCATACAAGATTTGTCCTTTTGCATTTGGTTTATTTCACTTAGTATAATGTCTCCAAGGTTCATCCATGTTGTAAGCATGTGTCAGAATTTCCTTCCTTTTTAAGGCTGAATGGTATTCCATTGTATGTAAATACCACATTTTGTTTATCCATTAATTTGTCCACAACACTTGGGTTGTTTCCACCCTTTGGCTATTGTGAATAACGCTGCTATGAACGTGAGTGTGCAGGTATCTGTTCGAGCCCCTGCTTTCAGTTCTTTTGGATATATCCGTAGAGGTGGAGTTGCTGCCCTTTTTTTTTATAGTGCTATCACAGCTGCAGTTATCCTGCAGCCGCTTGTGTGGTTCCTGTGAGGGCAGGGGCATCTCTCTTTGGGTCACTTACTGCCATATCCCCAGCACTGAGCACGGTGCCCACACAGAATAAATATCATTGAATGAGTGAGTGAAAGTTTCCAGTCTTAGCAGATGGGGCAAAATGTAGTGTCCTGGCAAACTTAGGTCTGGGCTAGTCTTAGCTCCTGAAGAACAGATCCAGGGATCCCCCAAGGACTGACAAATCTTCCAAGAGTATCAATTTTACTCAATTATTCAGGAGAATAATAAAATAATAACACTTATTGAAGGCTCACTCTGTGCCAGGATATGTGCCAAGCACTCTGCCTAAATTATCTCATTTAATCCTCAAAATAATGCTATGTGGTTCTACTCTTATCCCTATTTTACAAGTGGGGAAACTGAGTCATGGAGGGGCTAACTTCCTTGCCCAAAGGCATACAGGTAGGAAATGGCTGAAGTGGAATTTTTAGCCAAGACTTTCTGATTCCAGAACTCACACACAAAACCATTCTCCATTGCTGGGGCAGAAAAGCAACTTCTTATATTCAAGCAAAATCAGAGATATTATGGAGTAAATTCAAAATTTGAATTTCATTTAGAGATAAAGCACACAGGACATCAAAGCATGTTTCCTGCCTGCCTCAGGACTCGGTTCCATGTACCTCTGAGCCTGCGTCGGGTGTGAGCTCCTTCCCGGCCCCTTCTCTGAGGGCACTGGGGAAGGAGGGTGAAGCTTGCACTCTGGACAAAGCCCATGATCACCACCCAGGGCCTCCTGCAGTTCTTATGCAGCTTCTGCAAGATGTGTCTGCACAGAAAGGGAGTGACCTTGTGTTCCAGATTTTGAATGTTGGCATCAAATGGGAATGCATGTGTTGGGTGTGGGGCTGAATGGGACACAGACCCTGTGGCTAAATGCTATTTTTCTCCCTGGGGAAAAACCCAGCCCCAGCCCAGCAGAGCCGTCTGCAAACCTCCACCCCTCCTAGTTCAGCCCCATCTTCCTGGCCAGTCCCTCTTATTTAGCCACGGTCTCAGTCCAGCCTCACCCTGTGCCTGGGAGGAGGGGAGGTGAAGGAAGGCACTTCTGTGAGTGTTCGTTGGGAGGGTACGAGGAGGAGGACGATGACGAGAGGAGAGGGAAGAGGATGGGTCTGCTTTCCTCCTGGAGTGTGGGGAGGCGGTGGGAGCAGTTCGGGATGCAGGATCAGCAGTCCACAGCTGCCACGGGGGGATAGATGCTCAAGTCTGTCGCTCAGTCTGCTGTTTGGAACTCCAGAGCTCATTTTCCCACAGAAACTAAGCTCAAGTGGATATTGGCTCCCAGCCTGGGCCAAAGGAGCCAGATTCAGCTAATAGCAACACAGCCTCAGAAGACCCTTCACACTCTCCGCTGTTGTCTGTGACTGGTTGGCGGGGGTGCTGGTGGGAGCTTTGGAGACCACAGATCCTGGGGCAGCTCTGCCAAGGGCTCTGGTGGCTATGGAAACTGGGACCTGGCCAAGGGCAGCTTTTATACAGGCGACAGCGCTGGGAAGAAGGGTGTGTGTGTGTGTGTGTGTGAATGTGTGTGTGTGTGTGTGTATTTAGACATTTCTAAGCACAGGACATACTTAAGCTGTGGAACTGGAGCAAGTGTCCTGGGCTGGGTAGCCTTGGGCAGCTCCTGCATGTCTCTGTGCCTCAGTTTCTTCATCCGGAAATGGTAGTGTTAGAAGGTTTGGACTAGATCAGTGGTGTTGTAACATCTTTTCTGTTAAACCATTTCTCTTTTTTCAAGCAATCTCAGGTAAAATCTGTTGGCAGGGGCAGTGGGGGGCTGGCCCATCAGATTTCCCCCTCCCACTCTGCCAGCCTGCCCTGCCTCAGTGCACCTCCTCAGAACTCTAGGTCTTCTCAGAGTATTGTTTGAAAAGTCACTGAGCTGGATCCACACACACAAACACACCGACATACACCCAGGCACCCGGGCAGACACGCAGACATACATACTAATACACACACATAGGCACATAGACAGACACATCCACAGAGACACATAACATAGATACACATAGGCAAACAAACACACACATAGGCACAGAGCTACACACAGAAACACACGGACTCACACACACACACAATCTTGCCAGCTCTAGCACTGTCTTAAAGTCACAGAGGAAGTGTAGGGTGGTAGATTACACTCCGGACTGGGGAAACATTGAAACCTGGGGTCTTGTCCCTTTCCTAGCTGTGCAGCCCTGGGCGAACCAATCTCCTGCTCTGAGCTGTAAAGCTCTTAATGATGGTATTTGGGATTAAGATGCACAAGGGTCTATGAGTCTTTGGAAGTTGGAAATCACTCTGCAAGTGGCAGGGACTGCTGTGGCTGTAGACTTGAGTAGTCAGGCCCGAATTCCAGCCAGGAAGCACCAGTCTTGTGCAGGGGCCTCGTCTGTCTAACTCACATTCCGTGACATGCCATGATCCTGCAGGGTCAGAGGCCCGAGGGTTCTCTTCAAGAGGATCCAGAGGGGTGGGGCGTGCCAAGCTGGAGGAGAAGGAAATGAGACAGGGCAGTGGGGGTGGGGAGGTGCTAGGAGGGGCTCTGTGGAAGGTGGGAGGCTGGCAGCAGGTGAGGGGACTCTACCCACCACTAGTCAGCAATCTTGTGACAGCAACGGGAAGCAGCCTCCCCCATCCACCCTAGTGCCTGCCCACCCGCCTGCCCAAATGAGCTGGGGGCCCAGCTGCCAAGGGAACCGTGTTGAGAACACAAAACACCAGGAGCAAGGAGGCCCTGCCCGGAAAAACAACATCCTGGCTGCTAGGGCCAAAGCAGGGCTATGTGGGAGGGGCTATTTTTAGCTGGTGAGGCAGCCGGGGCAGGACTTGTATGGCCTTGCTGTCTGCCTGCATAACTCACCCATTGTCCCGCCTGACTTTGGGCCAATGCTGAGAGGCTTCTGTCTGCCCTGCCCTCTGAACGGGGCCCTCTCTGGGGTGCACCTGGGCCTCAGAGAACCCAGGAGGAGGGAGCTGGCCTGGAAACACACTCACTCTGTAGCCTCAGGAAGCAAGGCTTCCCCTTGAGAGCCGAACTCAGGCATCCCAGGCCAGGATGGGGTCCTGGTGCAGCAGGGGGCGCTGGGCCTTCCTGGGACAGGAGCAGAGGCTCTGTTGGTGTGCAGGGCCAGGGTCTCAAGCTGCACAGCTGTGTGTGGAGACGTGAGGCAGATTCCAGAGGAGGACATAGGTCCCTTTATTGTAGATGTTCTAGGCTCCAGCCACACCCTGCCTCGTCTCAGCCACATCCCTCATGGGCTGAGGTATATGTATGTGAAAGAAGCTCTAGGTCTCAAATTTTCCTGACCACGCCCAGGAGTCGTGTCCTGCTCTTGGGAGTGTGATGTTTGCATTTAATCCTGGGCACAAGCACCATAAGGCAGGTTCAGAACCAAGCTGTGGCATCAAGGATGAAAATAGCTGATGGGAAACAGGCCATCCAAAGCAAACACTTGGGCAGCCAGAATGACTGGGGGGCTGGACCCCTGCAGGAGAAGCCACCTCTAGCTGCCCCTGCCCAGAACCAGGGAGTAGGGGTGCCTCAAATGGCAGGCACCCCATTTCAGCCCCCTCCTCCTGGGCCAGGGCTCTCCCTCCCAACAGGAATCCTGGGACCAGGGGCTCTGTTCCCTTCTCCTGCCTTTCAAGACCAACTCTTGAAAGATGAGAAGTACCGGGAATTACTGGAGGGTGGAGAGAAGGAGAGCAAAGGGAGCCATTCGTTCGACAAATGTTTATTGAGCACCGATTACGTGCCACGTACTGTCCCAGGAACCTGGAAAAGGAGGGATTGGGGCAGCCTGGCTCCCTCCCAGCTGTGGCTCTCTCTCCCTCAAACAAGGCCTCCAGGGGGACAGGGTCGGAGGGGCACTTGAAGGGGTCTGGGGCGCCTCCTCCCTGAGAGGTGGAAGGCCAAGTGTATGGAAGGTGGAGGCTTCTAGAAACGAGAAGGCTGGGGGATGTGTGAGACTCCAGGGCTGGTGCCTTCCCCGGGGCAAGACAGGGGTGTAGAGAAGCAATCTTCCCAGGAGCTGAGACAGCTGCAGGGGCCCCATGCCCTCCTGCATCACCTCCTCTTCAGCACGGAGATGCAGGACTTCTTGAGGGGCCCAATCTGCAGATGAGCGTCCACACTTTCCAGGAAGAAGGCAGGCTTCAGCCTGCGTGTGAAGAGCCCTGCAAAGTGGCTGTCCAGGCGGCTCTGGAAGGGGTCAATGGGGGATGCCGGGGTGCCACTCCGGCGGGCCCGGGAAGCCTTCAGCCTCCGAAGAAGGCTCATCTTGCCATCCCGTACGGCATAGAAGGCCAGGGCTCGGTCAGCGTATTCCAGGCAGATCCCGACCGTGGGCGAGAAGGGGTGGGGCAGGGGCGCCTCCAGCCCATGGAACCAGATGGAGAAGCTGCGTCCATTCCACTGCAGGCAGCAGGAGTGGGCATTGCGGCCGAGCCGGCCCCGGTCATAGGGCTCTTGTGGGGAGAAGTCTTCGGCCATGACCCCCACGCTGACCCAACCCTCGATGATCTCCACTTCCCAGTAGTAGGTACCCCGGTCCAGGGCGCCCTCGCCCAGCACCTGCTCACAGTGGGTGAAGCGGGTGGGCGACTCAGGGTAGTTGATAGGACACAAGACCCTCTTTACACCTTTGGTCCCAAACAGCTGCAGGAACTTGTCTGCTGTGTCGCTGTCCAGGTCCACAATGTAGGCAACTGCTCCCACAAACGGGAGAGAGACAAAGGGCTCAGGGCCAGGCTCAGATGGGACAGCCCCTCCCTAGGTGCCCACCTCCGCAAACAGAGCCTCGCCCCTCCTCTGCAACCAACACGACTCAGCCCCACTGGAGAGCACCCCATGAGCAGACCTAGTTCACCCCACCAACGAGGGAGGGGAATCCAAGCCCTGGTGTGCCAGGGCCCAGCCCAGAAGCCTTGGGAGGGCCCAGTGAACAGAGGGGAGGCCCGAGGTATTTACTTACACTTGAGGAAGTAATCCCGGGGAGCCTCACTCTCCAGGTGGTTTGTGCTGTCAGGGTCCTGCGACTCGGCATCTGCAGCAGAAGAGGAGACAGTGGGCAGGGGGTCTCCCCAGCTGCCCATGGCTGGGCTGCTGTGCAAGGTGCCCCCCCTCTAAACCTGTGACCCCAATTCCTTCTCCCCCTCCTTCTTCTCAGCATTCCAAGCCACGTGGGGACAGGCACACGCCCAAATATGGCACCCTGTGTTCACATGCACACCTGGGCCTTGGGTTCTGCCCCCTGCTCCACTTGGCCCCTGGGCCTCAGCCCCTCTGGAGCTAGAGAGTGGGCTAGGAGAAGCCCCTCTGCCCCCTAGGCTGTGGCCAAAGGGGCTGACTGGTCATTACAGGGTGGTGGCTCTGGTCCCTGGCAGGATTTGTGTCCTACCCTGCACCAGGCACAGTTTCTATTCTCCACTCCTGAATGGGCACCAGGCCTGGGGGCCTGTGCGGGGAGACTGGGGAAGAGTGAGTCACTTCGGGGGGCACCCACCTTCCGTGCCCAGCTTCTGCAGCCCATCCTCGTCACTGCCCAGCCCCCGCAGCTGCTCCCACTGGCTGGTGCAGGCCACAGTCAGCACGTCTCTCACCGCCCGCACAGCTTGGGATGACTTGGTGAAGCTGAGCTCCTTTGGAGGACCGGGCCCAGGGCCGCACCCCTCCTCCAGGGCCAGCCTGAGTGCCAGGAGCTCCTGTGCCAGATAAATACCCATTAAGGCCCTGCTGGCCACAGCTCCTCCAGGCTGGGGTGAGACAGCTCTGCTGGGAGGCTGGCACAGCCCTGAAGGCCAGGCACCCACTGCCTTCTCTTCCCTCCACCTCCTGCCTACCCCGCCTTCTGTGCCCTCTCTGGCCCGAAAAGCTGCCCTCACCTGCAGGAAGCTGACCGAGTCGGCTTCAGGGACCTGACTGAGGTTGTGGCGGGCCCGGCTTAGCCTGCTGCGCTGTTCTTCCTGCCGCCGCAGGTCGCCCTGGGAGCGGCCCAGCATGAGGGCCTCCCCCTCCTCGATGAAGCCCAGCACCTCTGTTTGGAACCCTTGCAAGGTGGCTGCAGCCTCGGCAAACAGCCGGCTCACCCTGTCCCGCTCTGCCACGGCTGCACTCTGCATAGGACAACAGTGGGGCAGCAATGAAGGCAAAGAACTGCGCTGTGTTGGCCCTATCCTTCCCAGACCTCACCTTCCCACCCTGCCCTCTTGGAGAGACAGAGGGACCAGCCCAAGCTGCCCTGGATCTATGCCAGGCCAGAGGAGATGCTTGTGCTCAGCAGGGCCGGACAATGCCCTGAGCACAGGCTTCTTTGGAGTGGACAGTGCCACGATGAAAGCTCACACTGTCAGGAGCCTGCTGCAGGAGTGGACAGGGACCAGGGTAGCGTGGGGTCTGACCTTGATGAGGGCCACCGTGCGCCGGGACTGTGCAATGCCGGCGCCCAGCTCATCCATGCGGTCCTCCACAGCGCTCAGGACTTTGGGCTGCTCCGCCTGTGGATGACACCTTCCTGAGTATGGGGTCTGGAGAGGACACAGCCTTGCACTGGGGTCCCAGGCTTTACCAGAGGGAGGAGAGAAGTGACCCCAGCGTGGTATCTGTGCATAGGTGGGACTGGGAGTGGCCATGATGTCCCATAATATGCCAGAGGTGTCTCAAGCCCAGGCTGGTGCCATTTCCAAATGCCTAGGGAGAGCACAGGCTGGTTGGGGGTTGGGAGGCGGGGTTTTGTCTGCCTCCCTTCTCTGACCAGTAGGTAAGTACAAGGCCATCCATGGTCCTCAATGTTGCTCACATTTGTTTGAGAACTTCCTTCAGGGGAAGAGGCAGAGAATGAGAGAGAGTGAGGAGTGCTGCACAAGAGGGCATTCAGCTGTCCTGGGGATCCCTGTCCCCAAAGAGTCTGTGTCCCCAATCCAGGCCTGAGAAAAGGGAATTCCAGGCAAATCCCTTGGGTTTTATGAATCACTGCTCCAGCCAGGAGAGACGGAAAATCCCAAGGCCAGAGGCGCCAAGACCGGGCTGGAGGCCAAAGGAAACTGGGGGCGGAGGTAGCTGGACGGACTGCGCGCACATGCTCCCACCACCGGCCCCCGGAAGAGCTGGACAGAGCGGTCTGTGTGCTCGGCCTACCCTCTGCGGCACTCCTGTCGCCTGCCACACCCATCCAAACCCGCAGCCCCAGCCCAGGGCAAATCTGAGCTGAGCCCGACCCTGGCCGGGCGCATCAGCCGCGCTGCCAGAATCAGCCGCCTGGGACCCCGCCGGCCTAACCCGGCCCCCTCCTGCCTTAGTCCCCCCATCGGCCCCGCCCCGGCTTCAGGCTCCTGCCTTCACGGCCTTTACGCGTTCTCACTGGGTCCCTTCAGCCCCCATTCCCATCTCGAGCGGAATGTCCCACAGCGAGCGGATGACACTGTCACGGCTGGAAGGGACAGCAAAGATCCTCACGTTACAGGAGGAAATTAAGACCCAACCCTGGAAGGATGAGGGTGAGAGGGGCAGTCCACGGCCCTCGGCCGGCTCGCGCGGCCCGTCACCCGCCCTGGCCCGCCCGCGGTGCCCGCACCCCACCTCCTGGAGCGCGCGCTCCTGCTCCAGCGGCACCAGCTCGTGGCCCCGGTGCTCCTGGGCGGCGCAGGCCTCGCACAGGCACACGCGCTCCGCGCGGCAGTAGCGCTCCAGCGGCCGCAGGTGGCGCGGGCACAGGCTCTCCTCCAGCCGGCGCAGCGGCGGCACCAGGCGGTGTCCGCGCAGCGCAGGGCTGCGCTCGTGTGGGCCCAGGTGCGCAGGGCAGAAGGAGGCGAGGCAGGAGAGGCAGGAGAGCGCGGCGGGCAGGGCGGCGCCCTCGGGGCACGCGTCGCAGCGCACCGGCTCTTCGCCCGCCGGCCACGGCTCGGGCGCGCAGGGAGCCGACGGCTCCGGGGTGCTGGGCGGCGCACTGGGCGCCGCGGGCTCGGGGGCCGGGGCACGGCCCGAGCCTGGGCCCGAGCCCTGGCGGAGCTGCAGCAGCTCGGACAGCGTGTGGTTCTTGCGGAGCTGCAGGCCGTCGGGGAAGGGCTCCTGGCACAGCGGGCAGCGGGCCGCGCCTCCGGGCCCGCCGGCGCCACCCGGGCCGCGGTGCGGCCAGAGCGCGCCCAGGCAGGCGAGGCAGAAGTTGTGGCCGCAGGGCAGCGTCACCGGCTCCCGGAGCGGCTCCAGGCAGATGGGGCAGCTGAAGGGCCCGCTGCCGTCCATAGCTCCGTGGCCTCCGGGCCACCGCCTGTTCTGCTGCCGCCTGGGAGGGACCCGGACCGTTCGCGCCGTGGCGCCACCCCCTGGGACGGAGGCCAAGGGTTCGGCCCACTTCTGTCCCGGGCTCGGACCGCCCCCCAGCGCCACAGGCCCGCCCGCCGGTCCCCAAACACCCGGCCCCAGCCCAGACAGCGCAGGGCGGCCTCTGGGCCCCGCCGGACTCCGAGGGGCTCCTGGGCGATCGCCCCTCCTGGGCCCGGCGGCCCGTGAGGTCTGAGGGGAGAGCGTTGCCGAAAGGGCTGTGAGCGAGAGGGCGGAGGGCAGAGAATGCTGGGGACACACTGGAAGGAAGCTGGGAAGGGATTCACCCCTCCATTATCCCTCTATCCTCCCCCACGCCATGGCCAGGCCACCCCACTGTCACCCAGTAGCTTCGCGCTCCAGACCCTCTGTGGCACTGTTAGCAAAGTTCCTGGGCTGCTGACTGCAGAGAAAAATAACTGCTGATGTGCTCATGTTTTTGCCCCTTAGCGACTCTGTTTACCCCCGGCGGGGAACTTGGGCTTCTCTAACCCTGAAATGGGAAGTTGATGTAATCCTTCAAGTCCTTGTCTGAGGAATTGAGTTTGGGTCCATGGACACTCCTGAGCACCTGCGGTGTGGGTGGCGTGAGGGGTGGGGGCTCCCCAGGTGAAGGCACTTGTTAAGACTCATCTAATTATGCACTTAAAATGGTGCATTGTATTCTATGTAAGATATACCTCGATAATGTTAAGTTTAAAACAAACAGCAACAAAATAACTAAAGCAGCCTTGGATTATAACCCAAAGTATAAAATAAACATCCCTGAGTCCCTGCTGATATAAATAAATGACTGGATAAATAAATAAGTGAGAGAGAAGAGGCAAATTTCCCATTCAGAAAAATTCCAAATAATTTTTGTAGATACTCCATGGTGGAGCGTAACTTCCCACTCCTTCAGGGTGGGCTGTGCATAGTAACTTTCTTCCAAAGGGAGAAAAAGAGTAACTGTACAGTGGAGAAACCTGACAAACACTACCTCAACCAGGTGATCAGGGTCAACATCAACAGGGATAAGTCATGTTGATAGTAAGCACCCTTGATATGATGTGGTCCTCCTCCCTCAAAACCCATAACTGCAGTCTAATCATGATTAAAACATCAGACAAATCCCACTTGAGGAACAGTCTAGAAAACCTCTGACCTGTCGAGGTCATCAAAAACAGGGCAAGTCTGAGAAACTGTCACAGCCCAGAGAAGCCTAAGGAGACACGAAAACTAAATGTAATGTGTACCCTGGATGGGCTCCTGAATGAGAAAAAGGACATTAGGGAAAAAGTAAGGAATTTGAATACATTATGGAATATAGTGGATAAGAATGTATCAGTATTGGCTCTTTGTGACAAATGTGCCATAGACAAGTAAGATGTTAATGAAAGGGGAAATTGGGGGTGAGGTACATGGGAACTCTGAATTATCTTTGCAACTTTTCTGTAAATTTGTAAGTATTCTAAAATTAAAAGTTCATTTAAAAATATAGAATAATTGAGGCAATCCTTCCCACCCCCAGGCCTGCAGACCTCCTGCTGGTGAGGGCCAAAGCCGGCAGAATAAAGGGGTGAGGAGGGGCCATCCACCTAGAAGTGGGGCTTAACCTTTCTCAAGTGCCAGGGCCCCTCCCCAAGCCTGGTGCAGCCTACAGATCCCTTTTCAAAGTAAGGCTTTTAAGTGTACAAAACAAAATACATGGGATTCCATGGAAACCAATTACATTGAAATACAGGTACAAAATATTAAGAAAACAAATTTGTGATAAAGTTATATATGTTTCTTTAACACAAATAACAAGATCTGATGGAGATCTAATAATTACTGTATTTTTGAAATAGTGATGAACATAAACAACGTTTCAGGTTCTCTGTCACCACTGTAATGTGCTAGGAAAATATCTAATTTCTAGTGGTGACAAGTCACAGGTATTGCTAATACCACTGTGGTGTGTTTTCTCCATTCATAATAGCAAGAAACACTAAATTTCAGTTAGAGAATAGTGAAAATAAAGAGAATTTCCCCCCAAGACCCCAAGTTAAGAATGTCTAATTTAGAAAGATGCTATGCAGAGCCCCCTGACGTCTTTCCTGGAAGGAGGGAAGAAAACTAAGACCTATTAAATGTTAAAAGAGAGGTGCGATCCACTCCTGGGGGATTCAAGGGAAGGAGCAGTGAATCATGGAGGCCCAAGTGGTGGAAGTGGCATTTGAGCTGGGCTTTCACTAGTCCTGCTAGGACTCAGGCGTGCAGAAACTAGGGTGGGAAAAGATCTTCCGGGCAGAGGAGTAGCAGAGGGAACCGGCCCGGGTGTGGCCAGTTTGGCAGGAAGACTGGTAATGAGTTCCATACGTTGGTTTCCACAAGGAGCACTTGATCATGACCGTCCCTTGTTTGCCAAGACCCAGGAACAGTTTGGAGGCTCAGGCATCTGCACTGATCCTGCTCCGAGGCTTGGCAGCCAGGCTGCCTGGGCTTGCTGAGACCACAGCCCCGCCTGGTTCTGGAAGGGAGGAGGGTGCCACTCGGGTTGGGGGCTGCTCAGAGACGAGTTCCAGCTGGCCCCCTGCTCCCCACCCCACAGCCTGTTGGGGAAGAGCTGCTCCCCCAGGAAAGCGCGGAGATGTTATTTGTCAGGGTGGAGGCATTTTTATATTTTATTTCCATTATCGTAGTTTTAAAGTTGCTCAATATATTAATTCTTTTTGAAATAAATTGGCTCTTAAGGGGCAAGGGTAACTGGCACTTCTGAGGTCTGTAGGGGCATGTTCCTGCCTGCATCTCACTCTGCCCTTGCAAGGACTGTGGCGTGGGATGAGAAGTGGAATTCTGACAGGTTACATATCTTGCTGGAGGTCACATAACTAGTCCTGCGGAGGAGGCAGAATTTCAACCCAGAAGGTGCAATCTGAAAATAATCCTAAACCTCATATATGACCCTGTCTGGCTGCAGTATTGCTTAAAAAAAAAAAAAAAAAGTCAAACAAAAGCAAAAACAAACAGGCACAAGCAGCCCAGCAAACAAGAGTAATTAGCAAGCCACTCCAGCTTTGCTTGCATCTCTGAAAGAAATTGAAATGGTGGGCCGGCCCTGTGGCTTAGCGGTTAAGTGCGCGCGCTCCACTACTGGTGGCCGGGGTTTGGATCCCGGGCGCGCACCAACGCACCACTTCTCCGGCCATGCTGAGGCCGCGTCCCACGTACAGCAACTAGAAGGATGTGCAACTATGACACACAGCTATCTACTGGGGCTTTGGGGGAAAAATAAATAAATAAAATAAAAAAAAAAACAAAAAAGAAATTGAAATGGAGTCCAAGCCATGTCCCAAGGTAGCACTTTTTCTTTACGCTTTTGGTGTATCTTTAAAAATCTGATTTGTATTTATTTCAAAATAATGTCTTTAGAGTATTTAAAAAGTAAACAATTTAATGAGGTGTATAATAACAAAAACTGGCAGTCCTGTGTCCCACCCACTCCAAATTCTTGCTCCCAGGGACAACCGGTTTCAACTCTTTTAACTGTTTTCCGTAGCGTTTACCTCCACATCGCTAAAGCACGTGCTTACAAGCCTTGAACACCTGTGTGGATGTTTGTGCCCATGTTTCGTGTTTCTGGAGATGTAGATTCTTCACTTCTCTGTTGAACTCCCTGTTGCTGGGATCCCAGGTCTTCCTTTCTCTTCATTGCTTTACTTCTTTATTTCTGAAAAGTGCGTGCTCTGGGAGCTTTCTGAGAATGGATGCGGAAGTGTCTGCAAGTGCCTTTGTTCAGGCTTCTTCCTTGATTGACAGTTCAGCTGGGCATGGAATTCTAGAATGGAAATCCTCTCCCCTCAGAGTCTCACAGGCACGGCTCCATTATCTTCTAGCTTCCAGTCTCATACTACTCGACTCCCCATTCCCTAGCGTCACCATGCTGCTCCCTTCCTGCCTGGAGAACAGCAGCCTCTATTCTCTCTACTCCTCACCTCTCTGGTGACCAACTCCCTCCAACTCCACTGGCCCCAAAGGCACCAAAGGCCCGTCTTTTAGAATCACTCCCACCCTCCCCTGCCCTTGTTCTGTCTGTGTGCCCATCCTCCTGACGCTGCCTCACAGAAGCCCAGAAACTGTGTGGAGCGGGGCAGAAATGCTGGAAACACCCATAGGCTAATCACGTGTTCCCTTTCCAAATGTTACACCCCAAAGTCTATCCTTCTTTTCCCCTCTGTATCAATGCATTTTTTCTGGAGAGGAGATGGAGTGTTCTGTGAGAATCAGGTAGACTGAGTGAATTTAATTTGAAGTAGCTTCTGAGAGATTTGCAAATGCTTGCCCCTGCACCCACTTGAGAAGCACTGCTCCATAGCACACTCTGTAAAAGATGGCAGCAGCCTCTCGTCATACGTAAATAAAGGTTAACAGTCACAACACAGACCACTCCCACAGAACAATATGGAAAGGACTAACAACCTGATAAAAAGGTAAATTCACAGAATAAATGACCCAAAACATTTCCCACCACGGAAGCAGAGAGGAGGCCATTCTTCCTTTCTCTGCCCTTTGAGATTGTGGGCTCAGCCAGTTGGACATGGGCGTGGGGCTGCGGCTGGGGTAAGTGGGGATGGTAAGAATCCGTATGCCGGCGTAGCCAGCAACGAGGCCACCTGGCCAGCCCAATCCTGCTTCTTGCCCTGCTGGTCCTTTCAGCTCCTGCTGTTAACCCAGCTGTTCAGCAAGGTCCCGACCGCCTCCTGTCACTCTGTCGGGCTGCCCAGTGTTAGAAACCCCTTCCCACGTTTGGGGAACTCCTCACCTTGGGAATACTTTTTTTTTTTATTTTGGTGAGGAAGATTGGCCCTCAGCTCACATCTGTTGCCAGTCCTCCTCTTTTTGCTTGAGGAAGATTGTCCCTGAGCTAACATCTGTGCCCATCTTCCTCTATTTTGTATATGGGATGCTGCCACAGAATGGCTTGATGAGTGGTGTGTAGGTCTGAGCCTG